AACATATATACCTGGAAGGGGAATGAAGGATCGAGCCTGTGTCCAAGTTGGGTGCGAGAGAGAACCACGTTTTAAAGAAAGAGAAGGATAGATTGTTACCTCCGTCCGCAATGCGCAAGCGCGAATTAGCGAAACGGCGCACAGCGTTAGCGCGTTTTATTGTTTGTAAGAGAGGTTAGGGTTAGGAAATGACGGTGTCACCTAAAAAGTTATATTTCATAAGAAAAAATGCCAGGCCCATATTGTGTCTTATGCGGTAAACGTGATAAATCGGTATCTTATCATGGGTAAGTAATACTGTAATTTTTGTATAAACAGTAAATTATGGGATTAAATATAACTCTCTCTCTCTCAGTACGATTCTTGTTGATAATAAAAATTTAATATTAATTTCATTCTTTCTCAATAGATTTCCGAGAAACGACGAATCTCGTAAGAAGTGGCTGGATTTTTGTGGCATTGATGAAAATGTTTTAAGCACAGCTACTAAACTGTGTTCAAATCATTTTGAAGAAGACAAATTAATCCACAAATCTAAGAATACGTTTCTCAAGTCCAATGCTCTGCCAACTATTACGAGTAAAAAGAGGAAGAAACACCAATGTTTAGATAGCAGTCTGAACAAATCAAAAAATTCGAAAAATATCAGTGAGGAAATAGTCAACAATGGAACTGTCAATGATAACATCAGTGAGGAAATAGTCAGCAATGGAACTATCAATGATAAAATTCATCATAATAATGGAACTGCCTTTAACATGACTGTCAACGATGGAATTGTCATTAATGATGGAGTTATTACCAATGGAACTGCCCATATAACTGTGGATGATAGAATTATTGATGAAACTATAGACAATGAAATTATTGATATGACTGTGGACAATGGAATCGTCAGCAATGGTGGAATCAGTGATGAAATTGTTGACAAGACAATCCATTGTGTTAATGACATCATCACCGATGAAACTGTTCATATGGGAATCCATCATGATGATGGAATCATTATTAATGAAACCGAGACACTAAATTCTGATACTTGCCTAACTGTGAATCGTCCATCTAGACCTCCAAACTCTGAAAGAAGTAATTGTTTCCAAACACCTGTCAAAAATTTACATGACCCTCGTTTTGTTGGTGCCATTAGAACGCCACATCTTGCCACGCCAAGGAAAGCTCGAAGAGCTTTGGAAGTAGCGAAACGAACAATCGAAAAACAGCGAAGGAAAATCAAAACGTTGCAGCAAGCCAAAATCAGATTAGTTAGTCGCATAACAACGATAAAAGGACTAATCAAACATTTAAAGCAGAAAGATCTATTATCCGAAACAACAGCTGAAAATTTAATGGTAACTCTTGGCTATGATAATAATTAATAATAATTAACTTAATTTAACTTAATTTTAATTAATTGAATTTGTTTAAAATTAATAAATTGTAAAAAGTATCGCTCTATTGATTAGCTTGTAGAAAATTTGTAATAATTAATGTTGAATTGTACAAAAATTAATCAATTTGTAAAAAGCTCCGATTTTTATATATCATGTACTTTTTTTGTTTTTTATTCGTATTATTTAAATTAAGTAACTAATGTACATATAAGCTCCGATTTTTATAATACAATTTTTACTTTTAATTGTATATTTAGAGTGATTAATGTGAATAAAGATTTTATTTTTATACATCACGATCTTTTTCTTTTTTATTTGTACATTTAGGTTGAAGCTCCAACAGTATTAAATGAGATTTTGAAACGAAAAAAGGTTCGAGAAAGAAATACCCTGCAGAACTAAGAGCTTTTGCCCTTACGCTGAACTTCTACTCGCCCAAAGCGTACAAATATATACGTAAAACCTTCAAAAATTTTCTTCCAGACCTTTCAACAATCCGTAAGTGGTATTCGGTATTAGATGGTCGACCTGGATTCACTCACGAAGTATTTGAAGCATTAAAATATAAAGTTTCTAAGTCAAAAACACCGATTTTCTGTAATTTAGTAGTAGACGAAGTTGCGATTCGACAGGGCATAGTATATGATGGTAAACGGTATTACGGACTTGTAGATTTAGGTATACATATGAGTAACGATACAGATGTTCCTCGACAAGCAACAAATGCATTAGTATTTATGGTAGTCGCATTGAATGACCACTGGAAAGTTGGATATTTTTTGATCGATGCTCTAAATCAGTGCTCGGAATTAGTCTGAACATTTCAGCCGATTTCCGTGGTATACGCCTCCTTTCCTCTCCTTACCGCGCGCGCCGCAGCCGCTAGGGCCAGCGCCGCCGAGCGTTAGGAGCGGCACTATCTGATTAGGTTCTATGAGTAGGTTCTTCTCCCTATTTATTAAAATTTAAAAAATTTATTAAAATTTATTAAAAATAAATTTTTTTAAATTTATTAAGTGGAAATATTTCAATAGATTTCTACGTCACCCATGAGGTACTAATACTGACACGTTTTTCAAAAAGTGGTTTTTATCTACATTATTGCATCAATTGTTCATTCTCACATAAAAGGCTAAGAAAATCTAATTAAGAAAATCTCTTTTACATATATATTTTTTTTTAAATTAAGAATTTATTTTTATCTTTAGTGGAATAGGTCTACGGGGGAAACCATTTAAAAAAAAAAGAACATCAGCATTAGTATCTCATGGGTGACGTGGAAATCTATTGAAATATTTCCACTTAATAAATTTAAAAATAAAAAATTTATTTTTTAT